GTGACCTAAGGTTCGAGAAAGGATTCCTAAATGTTCAAAAAATTGTACCTTCTGGGGTACAAAAGCTTGTCACTTCGGTGGCCTCTTTAGAGGGACAACTTTGTATCTTGTTTACCCCTTATTTACAATTATGTACCTTACAGGTATTACTTCTCTGAGGTAACCCTCAATATGCACATTTTAGGGTTCAATAAGGTACAAAGTTCTCTGCTGTTTTATCAAGGGCGACTTCGAAGCTTGTTGTAGACTCGTGTGATTAAGCTTTATATAATTTAGCATTCCTATTCCATCTTTCTTATGACTGCTATAGGTAAACAGCAGAATTTCTGTTTCAGAATGACTGATTTCAAACAGGACTTCAGTTTTGGGACAAGCTGCAGGAGAGATTCAGCCGTCTGACTCCATTCACCCAGAACAAATGGTGACAGTGACCTACGCTGAGAGCCAATATGATGGTGTGAGAGTCTGTGGCATCATGTGGGGTTTGAGGAGAAGGATTTGTCGCTAATACAGAGACAATTTCACTGTGACAGACAAAGCAATCAGAGTGTAACTATTTTAAGTATCTTTCTAGCCTTTAAATTGTTTATTCTTAAAAGTATATTTAAAAAAAACTACTAGCAGATGATATAATATTAATAATAATTTAAAAGGCCACTTAAGTGACTTGAAGACAGGCAATTTCATGATTGTTTCTTAACACATTTAAGTAGACTTTGTGCAATTTGTAATAATAAAAAATAACATTTTACTTTAAAGTAAATTTTACATTTAAATCATAATCTTATGTTAAAGTACACTTATTTTGACACATAAATTACGATTTGTATGACGGTTTATGATTTTTACTGTAGCGTGTTATTCAATATTACGTTAAAAATTAAGATTTAAATGTACTAAATTGCAACTTAATCATTACAAAGGTTTAATTACAAATATATTTAAAAACATGACATACAAGTTTTAATAGAAATGATAGTAAAGTATACACTTTACCATAAATGCTTGTCAGTACATACAGCAGTACTTTAACCATATTTCAAAGACAATAGAAGTAATTATAAAATTACATTTAAAGATGCATTTAAGTCCTACTTGAGTTCATTCGTTTAAGTTCAACTTGCATTTAATATAAATTTAAACTATAATACATTTTATTTAATTGCATTTAGCATGCAATTATATGTCTAAAAACATGTAGGTTGCACTTAAGTATTCTTTTTCACTTGGAAGGAATGGAAAGATTTTCACCTTCTTCTGCTTCCTCAGAGGCCACTGATCATCCTGCTCCCAGGCTGAAATTATGTGTGGGAACGTGTATATTTCTGATGGAAATGACTGGATATATTGCAGTAACAACACCTAAGAATTTTCCATTGTGTGGTCCAACTCCCGCTTTCCCAACATGCCTGCAGTTTAAGAGAGAACTTTCCAGTTTAATCTGAAACATCCCGATTATGACAGCCAGCACAGCTTGGGTGTTGAAGTCAAATAAAATCCTAATTACATTGCTTGCAAGGCCAAGAATTTACAGTTAGCACCAGGGATTAATATAAGTCGTCAGCAGGGGCTTAATGAGGGATGTTTGCTGCCTCATATCGCAGTTTTGGCAGAACCGATTCATGTCACTCTCCAAGCCAAGCCAGTACAAGTGGCCCCTGAAACGACCGAACGTCATTTTTATCCTCAAATGACCTGCTATGGGAGGCAAATGATCCAGTTTTATTACAGTCTCTGCTTTAGAGTTCGGTACCACCAACAGTTCTTGGATACAGAGCCAACATGTTGCTTCCTTGTCGAAGGCTTTCCAGTGTATGCTCCCATCCAGGAGGTGGATCTTGATAAAAAATAACATCTCACTCTAGCTATGTTTCTGTAAACTGCAAAAAATGTACCAATACATACAATACACTGCAATTACCAACTGAAGTGAAACACTAGTGGCAGTAAAATACCAACAACTTTTATTCTTTTTCACACAAATTATGATTACTTGGGAAGATTATTGATTAATAAAGACTTATTTTCATGTGGTTCCTTGCAAAATACCATGTTATGTAACCTAAAAACACTTACCATAGTGCATGAGTTGTAAACTAAAACAATTTGACGTTTGCATCACATAACCAGCTCCATATGTTTGGCTTTTCTGGTGTAGTAAACTTGCTCGATTGCGCACCCGGTACAGCATTAAACTTGAGACACAAAGCACTCGGGTATAAGTCCTGTGAAACACAAATCACGATTAAAGACCTCAAAGACTGTAGAAGCCAGATTAAATGGGATGCTTGATTCAGCAGTGTGTATTTACCTCATGAGGGTTTGTGAAGCTTTTAGCGCACCTCTCAGGACATTTCCGAACTGCCGCGATATAAACAACAACCAGTGTATTAAAATGTTTAACTGTTTGAAGAAAACTATTTAGTGAAAGACATTTTGCTTTAAACCAGCTGTGAAATGTGCTACAAGGAACGCAATATCATTTTGCAACCCTCATGCATGCTTTTTCATGACGCTGTGCTGTTTAATAAACCTGCATCTGCAATGAAGAAAAAAAATTATATCGCTTATAGCACCTCTTGTGGACGTGTCATCTGTAAAATGCAGTGAAATAGACCTAGAGCAATGTATTTCAGTTCCTGCACTAATATAGCCAGGGTCACGTATTTCCAATGAGCCTGTGTTTCAGAGACATGGGGCTTGTTTCATTTACAGTCTGTTTATGTGGCTTTCCGAAGCACAGCAGAGGTGAGTTTAACTGAAGAGGTGTTTTTATAGGCCCTAAAGGGACTGTGATGCATTTAACTTTAATTTCCATCAGCGGCATTGTGACTTAGTTTGATTTGATCAGAATGTCACAACTGGTACAGAGAGGAGACGCTAATCCTGTAAAACTATGAGCGCAAGGGACTTGCTCTTCTGCAGGTGTTTCAGCGCCACAGTTCTCAGTGTGTTTGAGGGCAAATTTGTACGCAGACGTGATATAAATCTGACAAAACCTCCTTTTGGGTATATCCTCATTTGTAAAAACGGTATATTAACATGAGTTAACAACTTGTGTTAACATCTTGGACTGTTTTGGCTTGTAAACTGTGCTTGATCTGTGCAGATTTCTCCTGATTCAGACCACTTTTTCACTGGAGGAAGCGTTATTATGAACTTGTGTTTTAAAGTTAAAAAGATCTTAATGATGGACTTGTTTCTTACAAACACACAGTTTCACAAGACGTTAACTGATGGACTGGAGTGCTGTGGATTATTGTTATGTTTTTATCAGCTGTTTGGACTCTCATTCTGACGGCACCCATTCACTGCAGAGCATCCATTGTTGAGACACTGATGCAGTGCTACATTTCTCCAAATCTGATGAAGAAACAAACTCACCCTAATCTTGGATTTTCTGAGAGTGAAGACATTTTCAACAAATTTTCATTTCATTTCACCTATTTCTTTAAACTTCACCAATTATTTTGTTTCTATGACTTTCTAAAAGAGGAAAAATATTGAGCAAATAAGATGTTTTTGATCTGTTATTTTAGAGAACAAAACACTATTACAAAACACTAATAATGAAAATGTAAAATTGAACACAATGTGTTATCTTGTGCATTGCAAACAGCCAAGGAATATTTGCTGAACAGGATGAGTTCCTGTCTGAGTCTGTGCACGCAGCGCGGTTATTCATGCAGTCAAGCTATACTCTGATTTGATTTCCAATGTAGAGGCAGTGCACCTAATTAGTTGATATTCCCTCTACATCCTAATTAGTCTTCCTGACACTGGAATTAAAAACAGGAGAGTTATGTCCAATATAAAGTCTTTGATGAATGGTCCTGCTGGTTTTCTTGGACTTTACGTGCAGGTCACATCTGCTAACGTGCTCACTGCAGGAATAAACAGCAGGGTCAACAGTCTGACGCCATCAAAGCATCCTATGATAATCTGGGATTCAAAATCTAATTTAAACTTGTGGCCAGTGGCAGAAACTGCTTGGACTGTGCAATATCTTTCTTTAAGACTGGAAATAAGTCAGTTAAATAAAAATGTAGATTGGCATAATTTGAAAATGTAAAACTGATGCTCCTTGTATAGTATTTTGCTAGCTTCAAGTTTTGCTCATTGGTCTCTTTTTGCCTTATAAATACCCTTTTGTACTTTTGGGAAAATTTGTGCTACTATTTTAGTGCATTTCTATATTTATACTGTTTTTATATTGTTTGGAAAATGCAAAAACATTTTTTATGTTTCACGTATTGTTTTATTTGCTTTCATCAAGCCACTAAATGCATGTGAAAGATGTATACAGATGTATATATAGAGTCCAATTTCATCACTTTCAGAATCTGTGGTTTTATTGTTATTACTCTGAAAAATAGACTATTTAAATATGTATTCATATAGATCGGTTTAAAACATAACAACATAAATACAGACAAAATAAAACATTATATATGAAATAAAAAATTGTACAAAAATAAAACCATGTATATCTATACAGGCTAAACTACAGTTTTATTTAACAAATACTGTAGTTTTATTAAAAAAACATATAGTTATAAGCCTATTGTTTTTACTCTGGGATCACACTGGGTAAATTATTTTACCAAACGTGAACATGGGAAACACAGATTTCATTATATATGACACATAAACACTCTTTAAGTGAACTCTTGGTGACCCGAGTCTGATGGAGCAGAAGCGGGAGAGGAGAGAGGGACAGGTATGTCTGCAATCTTTGCCCAGTGGAATGTGAAAGCAGTGTGGATTGTTCTTTCCCTGCTGCAAGCTGCTGCAATGACAACTTTCCCATGTGACAACTAGCCCCGGTTATATACTGACTATATGATTTTCTGTGTCTGGTAATAAAATATTTCTGAACCAAGCAGGCTCTCTTATCTATTCCAGAGCAGTTTTCTTCAGATGTTTGTGAGGTTTACAGGGGTTCAGTGGTCGCGGCAGCCACGGAGCGGCGCAGTGTGTGTGTGTGTGTGTGTGTGTGTGTGTGTTTGGGGCGGCTCCAGTTTCAAACACAGCGCCCATCTTTAACACAACACAACCGGACAAGCTCCGTCCCGTAGCGAGATACCGCCGTTCATGTAAGTTATTCTCAACAAAACTCGTTATTCTCCGCGAATAACCGTGTGTGACTGGCGCGGCGCGGCGGGCTTTGATCTGGTCGGCTTGAGATACATTGTAACAAACGCGCTTTTGTTGGAACGAAACAGTGTCGCTCGCGCATCATCGATTCTTTGATGAAAGCCGCCGTGCGTGCGTCGTTGTTTTAATGCCGTTTCCCGCACTTTATTTGCTCCGTTTGGTCAACTTTTCCCGTCGTTCGTCGCGCCAGCAGCCTGTTGCTTCATCCGTGCTCGGTACGAAAAGCGGATTTTATTCCCGACAGGCCTGCGGATACAAAGAGATCAGCGAGTAACGGGACACGCGTTATCTGACACACTGTCCCAAGACAGACACGTTTATCTGCCAATTTTTGATTCTGTCGCTATATGAAGGTCCCATTACAGCTATTTTTTTTTCTATTTTTGAAGCATTTAATGTGTTTTTTTTTTTTTTTTTCTTTGTGCTAGACGCATTTTTCAAAAAAGAAATGCATCACAAAATAATGATTACCTTTTTAAAAACGGCGACGGTCTAAACAAAGAGTGAAATAAACAGCGCGTTTCAGATACTCAACTATTGTAGATCAATTTGTCCCTCAGCTGTGACATCATTTCCACCAGCAGCAGCAGTTGTGTCCCTAAAGTTAGTGTACTTGCTTGGTTACCAAGGAGACGAGTATGCGAGGAGACGTGACGAAAATCATTAACAATCAAACTACCAAATTATTAAAATATTATTTCATTACGTGTGCTTAGACATAAATGCGAGTTATTAAATTAGTCTCAGTAAGACAAAGCAGCGAGCCATTTTATTACAATTTGTTTCCAATAAATATTTTTTTAACGCAAAATAACGTTAGATGTAGGCTACAGTGTAAGAAATGAAGTAAAACTAAATATTCTAATTTACAAGGAAGTAGCCTCCTATTTCAGTCTTTCTACATCAAAATTGCATGTTTAATTCAATGGTGTGTGCGGTTTCTTTGTAAGTATGTGAAATGTACGTGCAATTTCTGAGTGAAAATAGTTTCAAAGTAAATCCTTTTTTCTCTAGTAAAAATAGCATTGCAAAAATATGACAAAATGACACAATTCTGGTGTGCTGCATGTGTTTGGACATTGTTAGTAGACCAGCTGAACTAGTGAGAAAAGGTGTGTTTTGAGGGACTTAAGGGCCAAAAAAAAAACACATAAAATGAGACGTCAGACCCGTTTCTGTGCTTCAGTCTTTATTTGTGAGCCCAGTTATTTTGCAGTAACTTCAGGCCGGGAGTTTCTTTACCTTATATATCTTTTCTTAATCTGAAATTGTGTGACCCAAATAATGCGTACTTGAAACAATCTGGCAACCATTTTCAATGTTTCAACAGCTGCTGTGGATCAGAATCTCTTTATAACATGCCAGCTACATCTGTGTGACATCAAATAGTGATATTTCATTCATTACTTCATCACCCTGTAATTGCAGAGTAATAAACACTATTTAACTAACTTATCTTTGATATATGTTGTGTCTTTGTTGCAGAAATGGCATGTGCATCTGTTTGAAATGACTTTTTGTTTGGTCGTGGCTGCATGTTGTTTTACTCGTGTAGTGTGTAGGAGGGAAAAGACTTGATCTTCTCCTGTAGCGTGTCTCCGTCACGTTAATTAAAACTGCATGATGGGAGGGAGGAAGAAGTTAATCCTCACGTAAGAGCATTAGTCCATATGACCACAGCAGCGAGGCTAACGTATAGACGGCATTTAGCCGAGGGGTTAGTGATACTGACGGTTATTGCTATTCTAATGCAGTGGTTTTGCTTCAGTATTGAGATTTGGTGATCCAGCTATTCTGTTCCTAAATGTTTATGATGCAAAAGTTGACAAATTGTTTCCTACAATCAAATGTTGAAATGTATTAGTGTTACCATAAAATGCATAGTGGAAATCCTCAATTTTGGTTTCTAAATTTCGATGGTTTGATGCTCTTGGTACCCAATAAAGGACGAAACAAAAAATAGTAAGCCATGCTCATCCTGTATTTAACATAGTCTGGGATTTTTTTCTTCTTCTTCTTCTTCATTTATTAACATTTCTGTTCAAAATTTTGGGGTTGGTATGATTTTTTTAAATGTGTTTTAAAAAATCTTCTGCTCACTAAGGATACATGTATTCAAGGGCAGGCTTTAAGATGGTTTAGATCCTACCTGTCCGATCACTACCACTTTGTTCATTTAAATAGGGAGTCATCTCAGTTATCACCAGTAAAATATGGAGTGCCACAAGGATCTGTCTTAGGTCCTCTGCTATTTTCTATTTAAAATAACTGTTTCTATGTGAATATCTGTTCAAATGTAATTTATTTCTGTGATCAAAGCTGTATTTTCAGCATCATTACTCCAGTCTTCAGTGTCACATGATCTTCAGAAATCATTCTAATATGCTGATTTGTTGCTCGAGAAACATTTATGATTATTATCAATGTTGGAAACAGTTGTGCTGACAAATATTTTTGTGGAAACTGATACTTTTTACTTTTCAGGATTCTTTGATGAATAGAAAATTCAAAAGCATTTATTTGGAATAGAAATCTTTTGTAACATTATAAATGTCTTGACTGTGTTACCCTTATCAGAAACAGTCAAACATCTAGACGCTGTCCAGACTGCTGATAGGGCAAGAATTTCGTCTCTGGCTGACCTCTGATAGGAAATAACGCACACTGGACTGTTTTACGTCAGCACTGCTTCTTCGGTAAATCTCATCCTCCTCTCATTGTAGTCAGTGATGATAAAAAACTACTACAATGGCAGCTATTCACTGCAGACCTGTCGCTTACAGGCGTCTCTAAAGAAACCAGAGCCAGTCTCTGTGTCCCATCATCATGGGAACCACGGGGTGGTCAGAAATCTGAGGGTGCAAAAATAAATCAAAATATTGAGAAAATCATCTTTAAAGTTGTCCAAATGAAGTATTTAGCTATGCATATTACTAATCAAAAATTAAGTTTTGGTATATTTACGGTAGGAAATTTACAAAATATCTTCATGGAACATGATCTTTATTTAATATCCTAATGATTTTTGGCATAACAGCAAAATGTATAATTTTGACCCATACAATGTATTGTTGGCTATTGCTACAAATAGGCTATACCTGTGCTACTTATGACTGCTTTTATGCTCCAGGGTCACAAATCCTCTGAGTCAAGTGAAATTATAAAGAAATAGTTCATCCATAATGAAAGTTGTCATTGTTTACTCACTTTTGAAAGTTGTTATGTTACTCCCGACAATAGCTTTATTTAGGAAACATACTGAAATTTTAAGTTCCTCCACTAAAGCTCTCAAGCCTTATTCTGCTTTCTGCAAATACAAACTGGTGCTCTACATTCATTTATTTTATTTCTGATTTATTTCAATCACCAAAATCGATTTGTAATAGTTTTAGTTGACAGCAACAACATTGCACAGCATTGTATGTACGAATTGGTACTGTTCTGTATTTACAAACAATAAAATGAATGTCATGTCCTTGTCCCTTTAGTCAAATGCACTTGTAACAGCTAAACTTTGTTGATTTCAGGCATGACGTGAAGTCTAGGTGATGAGGAAAGACAACAAGAGAGAGGAAGGACACACAAGATGATCGAAGCAATGGGTAAGTTCATTTATTTTTGCATTTCTGTGGAAATATGGCCTCTGATGTCTGATTGGTCTGCACAGGATTGTGGGTAATTGACCGTCCGCAGGGAGCTTGATTGACAGGCGATCTGACCAATCAGAATGCAGATATTATGTGCCGCCGCTGCTATCCGCCATCTTGCCCGACAGCTACTGAAACTTTTTCAATATAACTAAATGTAAAAATGTGCGCAGGGTTAAGCTGTGCTGTTGTTGGCTGCCACAGTAACGGTCATAAGCTAAAGGAATTCCTTTAAAGTACTTGTTCTGCGTACCAGAAACCCTGTCATGTCCGGCTCTGAATGCATGGCTTGCAGCGCTTAAGTTAAAATACTGAGTGTGAAATAATAAAATGATATGTTAAAACGTGTGCTCTTATCATTCTGTGGCCATTCTTGTTGTGCCAAGTGCCATAAGATCAGAGTGAATGAGCTGAATCTCACAAAACATGTCAGGAGCATTTCAGAGCAATATTCAACTCTAAAATCAAAAGACGAAACTGTATTTGTGAGGCTGCATATCCTTTATACAAAATGTAATTTAAATAACTATAATTCTTAAATAATAATAATAATTTGATTTTGGAGTGAAATATGAGCTTGGCAAGTTCTTGACATGTTTTGTCAGATAATCCCATGTAGTCCTTTGTTTGTTTGTTTGTTTTTTTATAAAATTTGCTTGTAACATTTATGCATTTTACATTTTTGCATTTAGCAGATACTTTTATCAAAAGCAGCTTGTTCTAACAGAGTGAACGTTTTGGAAAGTTCAGCCATTATTTAACCAGAAAATAAAAACAAGCAAAAGCATAGTAATTAGAAATTATAATAATAATAATAATAATAATATTAATAATGTAATTGGACTGAAATATGACCTGGACAGGTTCTTGGCATGTTTTGATAAATCCATGTCATTCTTTAAGAGAACAGATTTTAATTTTATGTAGAAATATAAAAGTTTTATTTGTAGAAAAGTAGTCATTAAGTGTGTTGCTGGTTAAATGTATATCCAATATTTATTTATTTATTTAGTTCTAATCATAATTCACTACCGTACTGCAGACCAAAACTCCAGCTCTTTACATCCTGGAGATTTGAGTTAGAATTCACTGCCAATCAGAAGTTTAGGGTCGGTAAATTTTTATCATTTTAAAGAAACTGATCGTTTTAAATTGATCAAAAGTGACAGTAAAGAGATTTCTGAATGATCATGTGACACCGAAGAGTTATGATGCTGAAAATTCAGCTTTGATCACAGGAATAAATTATATTTTAACATATAATCAAATAGAAAACAGTTATTTTAAATTGTAATAATATTTCACAACATTACTATTTTTTACAGTATTTTTAATCAAAATCTTATTATAACCCCAAACTTTTGCGCACACATAAAGCTGATCTTAGTTTTGCGTCTGCCACTGGCCAAACAACTCAAGCTTCTCTGTAAAGTGCTGGAGTTACTTTCCATGCCACTGATGTGTCCAAAAGCCATGTACGGCAGAAAGGAAAAGTGTGTGACTCTGTGTGAGAGTTTGCTTGCTCTTGCTGCTTGTTGTGGAGTTGTTTACAGTCAGTGGTTTCTGAAGAGCTGCACACACTCCACACACACTGCTTTAGTCACACTCTGTGAGAATGGAAATGACCTAGACTTCTGCACACAAACCTGGAGGCTCGAGCAGCTCCCTATGGCAGGATTCTGGGGCTTATCCAGGCGTTCGCCAGGCATGGCTGCACAAACCTCACACAACAGCTCAGTCACCCTCACATACACACTGCATACCTGCTGGCGGCTCATATATGAGAAATAAGTTGCTTATTACATGTACGTATTTAGCAGATGCTTTTATCCAAAGCAGCTCATTCCACCAGAGAGGAGCAGAGAGAGTGAAGGTTCTGGAAAGCCACTTTGTGCCTCATTGTGAAGGAATAAAAAAGTGCCGATAGCTGACAGGAGAGCGCTATTTATGTTTCATTCTCTCAGCCTTATTTGAGCAGGAGAATAAAAACTCTTGAGACTTCAAATCTCTTTTACAAGAGTATGCTGGCCAAGATAGGCAGCAGCACTTGTCTTGTATATGCACAAAATAAGACACAATACATAAAAATAAAAATAAAAACTCAAACAGTGGCTATAATTATCATAAAATATGCAGTCAGAAATATTTCGGAAATTAGCAAATGCTGTAATAAAGACCTGTGTTGCGTTTCCCACAGCATAAGCCTAAGGAGATCATAGAAAATATTGGCATGATCTAAAATATTTAGGCCTAAAGGTATTCGAATTGCATATAAAATATCTGTCCATTGCAGATTTAACATAAACAAACTTAATGGGAGTCATACATAAATTAAACCAGTCAGGAAAACAGGTACGAAACAGGCCAGATTTGTATTTAAATAATCATATTTTTAAAAATGTATTTATTTAAATAGCTTAGAATCAGCAAAAATCTATGAAAGCCTGTTTTTTCTTCTTCTCTGAATTATGTGATATGAAATCGCAGTTGCGTGTTATAAAGTCAGAATTACGAGAAATAAACACAATTGTAAGAAAATAGTCTGTCTTTTTTCCCTCAAAAAATCAGAACTGTGAGATAAAAAGTCACATTTACATTGTTTTATTTTTTATTCAGTGATAGAAACAGCTTCCATAAAAATCTGTTCATCGTCAAAGAAATTAAATTTATTAAGATATAAAATATGTCTATATAAATATAAGATATGACCAGCTGTGGAACAGGCTATATTTAATTAGTTAAAATGTATGCGATTGAAACAAATCAGATTTATTGATGATAAATATATAAAGCTGGTTATTGTGCATTTAAACCTTCAGTTTATTAGTACTAATACAGAAATCTGACATATTAATGTATGACTGATAAATATGCATCACCGTATGTTTGTTAGTTTATGTTAAAACCGTTTGATCCAAATGGATGCAAATTCTACATGTAATTCAAATACATAAATGTTAAATTTAAGCCAAAATATTTATTTGAGTGTACATGGGCGTACAATATTGTGAAACGCAGCCCAGATCTCTTAAATTAGTGCACAACAGTCAAAGATCATATCATATTATGTGGGTTATAGCCTAATTAATAAGCTCTACCCTATAAATTGTCCTATGTGCAAGTTTTTTCCCAGCTTTCGCTGTGAATTATTGACTCTCTTGCTCTTGTTCAGTGAGAGGAATGTGTACTCTAGCATTCATACCCATGAGGCATCAGACTGTGCGATTAGAAGACAAAGCACCTCCTCACGGCAATGAAATCCTCCACAGAAAACACTCCACGCCGCTCTGAAGATGAACGGATGCGAATCCACTCTTCCCTCAATTATTAAAATATTCCCTGAATATTTAAGCGGAATAATGTACCTGTGTGAGAAAGAAAGTGAATTATAGAAAACATTTCTACCGTAGCTCATCACAGACTGACGGATCTATCAGCACTTCTGACATGATTGTCAAACTTTAGTGAACAAACAGAAATGAAAGGCTGTCAAAGCTGGAATAGTTTCTGTGATTGGAAATCATTTCTGACGGTGGTCTCCAGAGTTTCGTTAAAGGTGTGTGTGTGTGTGGCAGATACCCAGCGCTGTCTGCAGGCGGTGGAGAGGTTACAGTCTCGCTTGAAAGAAAAGGGAGCAGATGTTCCTGCCGAGGAGAAGCTGAATCTTCTGAAGGCGGTCCTGCAGAGTCCTCTGTTTCACCAGATCCTCGCCCTGCAGAAATCAGTGCAGCATCTGAAGGAGCATGTAAGAAAAAACACAACACTGGAAAAAACACTTCTGCTTTGTTAGCCAAACAACAAACCATTTCAAACAGAGAAAAAAAGAATAATTTGATTTATTTACCCTCCATGTGACTTGAATTGGAAATTTCAAAGAATGTTCATATAAGGACAGGTGCAAAAAACACTTTAAAAGAGCGTTTAGTTTGGATCATTGTGTAAATCAATCATTTTTTTCACCTATTCTTTTCAACTAGTTTATTCCTGTTTATATTTGGACAGAGTAATTTGTTTACAAATCAAATGAAATGATTTATTCACAAATCAGACAGGGGTGCGTTTCCCAAAAGCAACTATGGTCTTAAGTTCCATTGAACTCTATTGGTAAAGACGGAACTTGCGACCATAGTTACTTTTGGGAAACGCACCCCAGATTTAAAAATAGTTCACCCAAAAATGTAAATTCTTTCATTTACTCACCCTCATGTCGTTCCAAACCTGTATGACTTATTTTCTTCTGTTGAGCACAAAAGAAGATATTTTGAAGAATGTTGGTAACCAAACAGTTGGCGGTAACCATTGACTTCCATAGTATGGAAAAAAAATACTATGGAAGTCAGTGGGTAGAAGCAACTGCTTTGAGTGAACTATCCCTGAACACGGTGACAGCATGCAACATACATGAGGTCAAAAATGTAGCATATTACTGTTTGAAATGTGTATTACATCCACTACTGTTCAAAAGTTTGGGGTCATTTCAAATAAATGCTGTTCTTTTGAAGATTTTGAATGTTGAAAGTATCATTATTAATAATTGAGCAGTAAATCAGCATCTTAGAATGATTTCTGAAAGATCATGTGACACTGAAGACTGGAGGAATGATGCTGAAAATACAGCTTTGATCACAGAAATAAATTACATTTTACAATATATTCACATAGAAAGCAGTTATTTGAAATGGCAAACATATTTACAATTTTTTACTGCATTTACTGTACTTTTGATCAAATAAATACAGCCTTGGTGAGCAGAAGAAACTTGTTTCAAAAACATTTAAAAAATCTTACCAATTCCAGCAGTGTAAATGCTTAGAAATGTAAAACTGATGTTCATTACTGGTGTAGTTAAGCAAAAGATCTAAATATATATACATATATATAAGTGAACCGTATATATAGCACAGTATGCTGCCTCGTGTCTTTGGTCATTTCAGACATGCTGTAGTCACAGCTAATCCTAAGATTTGTGTCTCAGTTAATTATTCAGTTATTTGTTTTGACAGTCTGCTTTGAATCTTTGCTCCCCTGATCTGAGCTGATTGAGATTACGTGATTATTCGAATCACAAACAATGCAAATACTGGAAAATATTCATAAGTAAGGCACAGCCCAATTATTTAGGGAGAAGCTTCACTGGTTGGGCAGATTTGGGGGTTTTGGAGCTCTGTGTGCTCATGGAGAGTTTGGCACCGGCAGCCGTTCGGTCTGAAGTATGCGAGTTATGCTGGAACAGAGGAATGGAGATTATCAAATCCCCAGCGGCCTTCCCTCTCGCTCTCTTCACTCACATACTTATGAACCGCAGAGCGGAATGCTGTTAACAGCCTGTGTGGAAGAAGGAAACCATCTAATGTCAGTCTGAAAGTTATGGACTCATATAGAACAGAGCTGATGACCCTTGTGAAAAAGAAGTGCACTTAACTGTATAGAATGTGCACTTGTAGTCTACTTCAAATCTTGAGTGTTGATTTTTATAAAACTGCACTTGCAGATAATATAATATCAATTAAATAAAAAGCCACTTAAGTGACTTAAAGATAGACACTTTCATGACTGTTTCTGAACACACTTAAGTACACTTAAGTGAGCTTTGTAATAATGTTTTACTTTCAAGTTGTATTATTTTGATGTGTTGAATAACATGTACAGTACTTGATTGTAATTTTAACTTTAGTGTTTTTGATATTTGATTTAGTATTGTTTTGATATATTATTTACAGTTAATATATTTTAAATGTACTAAATTGCAGCTTCATCAAATGTTTAATTACAGTTATATTTAAATACATGACATACAATTAATACTAGGGATGACATTAAAGTATATTTCAATTTATCATAAATGCTTGTCTGTACATTCAGCCATACTTTAACCATATTTCAAAGCCAATAGAAGTAATTATGAAATTACATATTATTAAGTCCTGCTTAAGTGGGCCAAAACCATTTTAAAGTTCAACTAATTGCATTTTAATATACATTTAAATAGTCAAGCTTATGTTTGGGGACCAATTCTCACTATCAACTAACTATTAACTATTAATTTTGCCTCAATAAATTCCTAATTTGCTGCTTATTAAAAGTTAGTAAGATAGTTGTTAAGTTTAGGTGTGGGGTCGTATAAAAAGATCTAAAATATGGTCATGCAGAATAAGCCATTAATATGTGCTTTATAAGTACTAATAAACAACCAGTATTCTAGTAATATGCATGCTAATAATCAACTGGTTAATAATGAGAATTGGTCCCTAAACTAAAGTGCTGCCTTTTTTTAAATTGCAGTTAACATGCAGTGACGTGTCTGAAAATATTACATTCAGTTCACACTTAAGTATATACTTATTTCTGTAATAAGTGCTATTTTTAACAAGTGTACTTCTTTTTCACAAGGGGAGACACAAAGAAGAAGTAGATTTTTCTATGCAGTTTCTAATAAGTTTGTTACTTAGGCAAAAGTAAACATCACGATTTCTTTAGCAAACACCTTTAATAAACTGCGAAGAGTTTCTTTCGGTCCACACTAACCTGCAGGGTTGTTTATGCCAACTGCTGCGTCTGGCTTTGTCTGTGTTGCTATAGTTACCAGAACGCAGAGAGGGAGAGACATGAGTTCATGTGTGAAGTGGAGCAGAAGTAATTTTTGAAATGTGGACGAGCCAAACTGGAGGCCTAATCCTCTTACACGGGAAGACTAACAAATACAGGCTCTCGCAGAGCTGACATAGTTTCGAGCGCGTTCAAAGCTTGTGCACGATCAGCAACCGAGCCGGGAGTCTGCGGCGCGTAATCTGAAGGGCCTCTGGGAGATGGTTATGAACATTAATGTTTACTGCAAGAGACTGAAGAGCGGCCGTTCGTGTGCAGAAGAGCCACATAAAACTTGCAGAACCTGACATAGTTTGTTAAAGGGACAGTTCACCCAAAAATTACAATTCTGTCATCATTTACTCTCCCTGGTGTTGTTCCAAACCTGTATGAGTTTCTTGCTTCTGTTAACCACAAAAAAGACATTTTGAAGAATGCTGGTAACCAAACAGTTGACGGTAGCCATTGACTTCCATAGTATGGCATAGGGATGCACAATATTGGATTTTTGCCAATATCCGATATGCCGATATTTTTCAACTCATTTTGGCCGATACCAATATATTTCCTTTTGTTTGGAAACAGCACCAAGTCTGTCCTGTGCAGGGATTATAAACAAATCATTTTTAATTTTGGTTAGTTTTTGACAAAAACTTCTCATCCGCGTCCAGCTATTTTTAGCTGTACAAAACCACTTCTTTTGTTGCTTGATATTGCAAATTGGTATGTCTTACCATATTATTTTAGTGTATTATCTTAATTATGAATACACTGATTTGTATTGCAAACAGTTTTACCATTTACTGCACGTTGTTATTCTTCTCGTTATTTCTCTAATGAACCGGAAGTCTCACCCATAGGCTTACTTCCGTGTTTAGGAATAAGGTAGATATCAAAATATTTAATTTACATGTGTCATGTTTGTGATTTTTATTCATGTAAGCTATAGCATCTGACCTTTAATTCAAAGCATACTCGGGATTTTATGACACTGATTGCTGCTTTATTAATCCGAATTACAATCAGAATCACAATCTTAATGTTATTTCTGTATGTTACTTTCATTTTATTACAAGTAAGCCAACAGCGCCCCCTAAGTAAATATAACGCCACACTGCTGACGTGATGTTATCACTATCACACCCTGAGCACATGTGAGCTATTCATTTTATCGGCAAGGCATATCGGCATAATTTTTCATTTTGGGCCGATGTTTACATTTTAAGACATTATCGGCCGATTCCGATATCGTTCCGATAATATCGTCCATCCCTAGTATGACATAAAAACTATGGACGTGAATGGTACCGTCAACTTCTTTTTTTTTTTCACAAAATAGGTGAATAAATAATAAATGACAGAGTTCTCATTTTTGGCTGAACTATTCCTTTAATAAGTCACCAACACATTAGATGTTCATGTGGGATAGACTCACAAACACTGATATAACTGATATAAGGAGTGCAGATCGGTGAAACCGAGCCGGAAAGACAATAGTTTAATAAGCAATTAAATTCAAACAAACAGCAAATGTTTTAAGGAAATGACTTAACACATTGCAATGTGAAGTGCTTGTTATTTTTCTCACAGAGAGATGCTTTTTTGGGGCACGTTTTGTCGCGGTAATTGATGTGAAATGGTTTGTACTTCATCAGGAGTGTGCGCTCGAGTCGGGGAGGGAAATAAAAAGTTAATTAAGCAGCTCCTGGATGTAATGAAAAACATGTGTGCACAGATGGCTGGGAGGACAAATTATCACCAGAAATTATCAAAACAAATTAGTTTTCCACGCTCTTTCAGGGCTATTTATATTTTTAGATGCTCAGTGAAAGAAGCTGAATGGTTGGAACACACAAAGCGAGGAGTGATTTGGGCTGTTTTTCTGTTGCTCTTTCTCTCAGACTCCATATATTAACTCTGATCTGAAGGGCAGCACTGAAGGATTCTCAGCTCAGCTCAATGGACAAACTTCATCTGAAGAGTACAAACACATCATCTGCTCCATGGCTCAGGTGACACACAATATCTATCTATCTATCTATCTATCTATCTATCTATCTATCTATCTATCTGTCTGTCTGTCTGTCTGTCTGTCTGTCTGTCTATCTGTCTGTCTGTCTGTCCGTCCGTCCGTCCGTCGTTCTATTGTTCCATCCATCCATCCATTGTTCGATCTATCATTCTATTCTATAGTATCATTCTATACTGGGGGTGTGTCCGAAGCGTGAATCCTTATAAGGCACGGAAAACAAATAACGATTCCTAACACCATGTCTACACCGGACGCGAGAGGCACGGCAAAATACTATAGAACCACTGATCTATAATAGAGATTCATTATATATAGATCAGTGTATAGAACTTATTATAATCAGTGATGCTGTCTACACTGGATGCGGCGCGGCGCAACAAATCCCCGACAGTAAACTGCTGCCACGTTCTATTTATGACGTGCTGACACAAATTCCAAATGATTTTCAACAGTCGCTTTGTCTCATCCAGTGCAGACAGACTTTAGCTGATGCGGCACGGTGCGGCGCGACACGACAACTGTTAACGGTTGCCTGTTACATTACAGTACATAAAATTTCACTTACCACATAAACAGATTAAGGAGAGATGACTGAGGACGATGTTGAATGATTTGCAGATCCTGAGCACCACTGACAAACATCTAATCTTGTAAAATGTGTGGTAAGTACTGCCCTCCATAGTATTAACAGACTATAAACAGACTTCGTGCAATCGCAAATCTCGAAAGTGAAAGTGAAACTAAAAAGTGATCGTGCATTCAAAAGCAGTTTCAATGCCAGGTATAATAGCGGCTCCCCGATGCCCGAAATATATGTAGTATAATTACCCAGCGATATAACTGCGAGGGAAACTATTGAAATATATATTTTCCTCCCATCTCGTATTTATTCCCTTTAGGGGTTTCGTATACACGTCATTTTCTTTCCGAACACGGTATTGGGATGCGGCGGATTGCGGAGGGTATGGGGGGGGGATCACGATGCCGGCTCAACACCGTGATGTCTATCAGCCATCGGCGATGGATGATGGCATCGTCTATCGGCCCAACTCTACCATCCATCCATCCATCTTTCAATCTATCATTCTATTGTTCCATCCATCCATCCATCCATCTATTGCTACATCCATCCTTCCATCGTTCGATCTATCGTCCTATTGTTCTATCCATCCATCCATCCATCCGATTCAGTTATATTCTCTATATTATCTATTTGTTTAATGTTAAAAAGATAAAATAGAGATGAAGGTATTTTTCAGTGGCATTTTTTCCTATTTCCCCCCCACTCCTGATATGGCATGGTGGGCCAAATCAAAGGGCATCAGGGGCCAACTTTGTCTCACCGGCCCTTGTTTGGGCATCTCTGATCTAGATAATTTAAATCTTTGCTAAACAATATTTAACTCTCATATGGCTCTTAAATAGTCAATAAGAAACCACACATTTAGTCATTCACTTTCTGAGCACAAATCCAAACAGCTATGTGATTATGTGACTGTATGTGATGTTGTGTGTGTGTGTGTGTGTGTGTGTGTGTGTGTGTGTGT